TCTCTCTCTCACCCCACCACACACCATTCTTTGTCTGTCATTCTTACGCTCCCGTGCTCTCTCCCACTCACCACTCACTCTCCCTCCATGACTGTCAGATGATCCTCCAATCACAGACTTCCCCTCTCAACGATTGTCCAATCATAGACTCCCTCTCTCAACGATGTTCCAATCGCAGACCTCCCCTGTCAACGATCCTCTTGTGGATCGATGGTGTGGATGCTGTACCTCAGCCTTGCCTGTACACACCCCTCGTACTGCCCCGAATTCCATCCCCCCCCACCACCCACAGTGCGCAACCAATGCCTCTGAGGGACTGGTTTATTCCACACGGTGGAGACTGTTCCAGTCACTATATTACAACTCAGGGCAGCGAACCCTGGATGAAACCACTACCCCCCCACCCAGCTCCCCGTTCCACCGCGGTGTAGGAAAGACCAGCAAGATCCCAGCCTCTACCTGGGGTCCATGCGCTCTCAGACCCCTCTCTCTGCGAGACGCCGGGTGTGTCATTCAGGCAGCAAGAGAGTTCAGGGACTGGGTTGAGAGCAGGATGTTTGGGTTGGGAGTGGGGGCTGTTAGGGATTGGAGAAGTTGGCAGGGAGGTGGGGAGGAAAATGATGAAAGGTCTCCTCACCAGGCTTATTGCTGCTCTTGCTACTGTCCATGAGGGAGTTGAGCCAGGCCGAGGCTCCCAGCCGGATGTCTCGGAGCAATAAAGCAGCTGCGTCATTCCCTATCAGGCTCAGTGCGTCCGTCTTCTCTGTGATCCTGGGGATACCCGATGCAGCCTCTGTCCCTGTCAACACACAATGCACCGGGGTCAGGGGATAGGGGGTACAGGCCGAGTGTCCCAGATCCCAGGGGAAACAGGGAGAGAGGGGGATAGGAGGGAAAAGTGATGCCAGAACCCAGGGGAAACAGGGAGAGAGAGGGATAGGAGGGAAAAGTGATCCCACACCCCAGGGGAAACAGGGAGAGAGGGGGATAGGAGGGAAACAGCAGTCCCAGACCCCAGGGGAAACAGGGAGAGAGGGGGATAGGAGGGAAACAGCAGTCCCAGACCCTAGACGAAACAGGAAGAGAGGGGGATAGGAGGGAAGAGTGATCCCACACCCCAGGGGAAACAGGGAGAGAGGGGGATAGGAGGGAAAAGTGATGCCAGAACCCAGGGGAAACAGGGAGAGAGAGGGATAGGAGGGAAAAGTGATCCCACACCCCAGGGGAAACAGGGAGA